AAGAGCAAGCGAGGACTCTGGCTCCTTTCCTCGAGCTGCTGGGGGTTTGATCTCTCGTGAAGCCTGCTAGTAGGTTGTCTTTCCATCTTCCACTTTAAAAACAATAAAAAGTCTTAATTTTTACGTTCCCTGAGCTGCTGATTTTGTATACATAATGGCGTGTAAAGGAATCAGTAGGGGAGTAATGCAGAATGCAGATGCTAGCGTTTATGTTCTGAACCTCCTGGTTCACTGACCGTCAAGGTTAAAGGTGGAATTAGGCAGGAGGGGAGGCCTGAGCCATCAGCAAGGATTAAGTCCGGTTGTTCCAGAGTGTGTTCAGAGACACAGCAGACCTCTGAACCTGCTCTGGAAATAGTTCTAAACGAGGTGTCATCTCCAAAAGCAAGTAAGGCAAATGTACGTCCTGTTGCCACACAGGCTTTATCGACCAGAGGCCTTCAAGTGTTCTTAACTTAGTCCTTTTCTTCTGTTTTGAAGGTAATTAGGGTGACAGGTTTTATGAAAGGACTCTACACGGATTTCGAACTGAAATCAGATAACGTTAAGGTGGGTATGAAACTTCCTTATTTATTTACCTTTAATATGAGGTTTCTTTGATACTTGCCACAAGGCACTTCTGATCTTTTCTGCATTCAATGTCAAGTACCTGCCTTTAGTTTTGTGAAGAAATTGTGAAAGCTGCTGCCTATTGGTTATATTACGCAATGCACGGGATGCACACCTAGCAATTGCATTTGTGGATGTGACACAAACAAGCTGTCCTGTGTGAAGGACTATTGCTGTAAAGATCTCAAAACAGTGAGGGCTGATCGATGACCGGATGTAGGTTTCCAAAACATTGTTGTATTTCAGGTGAAAAGGATCATTACGTAGCAAGTTTGCCTTGAATTTGTTAGGCATTGGTAATAAATCACAAACACTGGAAATCCATACACAGCTTTTTGAAGAGTCTTGCGATCCCTCAATGGAATGTATGGTTTTATACTTACTGCTTTATATATGTATATACGCATACATGTACATATTGCATGCATATGTACAGTAAATATTCTTATTTAATATCCTAGGACTTGCTGAGGCATTTGTCTAGTTTATGCATTCCACAATAGGTTTATTACAGTGTGCAAATGGCTAATTACTGAAAGAGGAGGTTAATGTTATTGCTGAAAAATGCTTTTCTTAAGTAAAAGGGTGACTTTAGTCTCCATTTAAGTGTGCAAATGGCTAATTACTGAAAGAGGGGGTTAATGTGATTGCTGAAAAATGCTTTTCTTCAGTAAAAGGGTGACTTTAGTCTCCATTTGCTGCCCTGCTGTTGCCTGCCTCTTCGCTGAGCTGATGCTGAGTTCTCCAGCTACCGACTCAATCGGAGGCTTTGGCTGCTTATTGACGACAAATGACGCAGCGTTTGTGTGTTGCTAGTTAGCCCGCTACATCCATTGGTGATTGTTTAACATAGCAACCGAAAGCATGAGGTCTATGAGCCTGGCTTGTTGTCCATACAGCCAGTTGCATGGTTGTTTGATTTACTTCTTGCAGCTAATTATCGATCTGATACGTATCTTTATTTCTGTGACTGTTCTTACTGTTGTCAGGATAACTAAAAGCTAAGTTATTTATCCAATGGATTGTTGGTTTTGTTGGTACTGTCCCTGTTGAAGCTTTTCAGTAGGTTCTGTGATGAAGAGCAGCTTAGCACATCCTGCCTCTTCTGGAGATAGCACCGCGCGTTTTACTTGTGAATTGAAAAAGCAGATTTCTTAGCAGCTGCTGAGTAGGTCTTTGTTTGTATCTATCTACTGTGATAGCTGTGAAGTTGCACCGATCTGGAGTACCTCTCCGAGAATTTCTTTCACAGTCCATGAGATGATGGTTTTCAAGAGTTCAGGCAGAGGAGATGAAAATGCTGTAGTGTGTGGGAAAATGTCTCTAGCTGATGTTCCTTGTTTCAAAACACTGGTCAGGGGAAAGACTTGGCTCTCCCAGGGTGCTTCATGACTGTGATTTCTGTTGGAGTTGTAGAAAATAAGGAGAGACAAAACTACCCACAGAGAGCTGGAGTCTGAGAGCAGCAGCTGGAGTCCATGTTGTAAATAGCTGTATATATTTCTGTGCGACAGTGATCTGCTTTATGTAACTCTGGGGAATGATACTCATCTGGTGTGAAGATCTGGCAATAGATGCACGGACTTGGAACGGGTAGGATGCTTTCAGAAAAAAGAGGAGGTTTGTACCCACTGCAGATAGTCCCAGTGCTGTAGTCCACAGTCTGCTTGCTGTGGGCTGGGAAAAATTGATGATTGCTCTTTGCAAGCTGGCTGTGCTGCGCAGTTGCAGATCACGAGGTGCATAGACTGAAATTAGGAAAGCCCAAAGCTTGCGGTCCAGCCTCTGTGGTGGCTGGGGCTGGCTGCTGGTCTGGACATCCTCTTACACGCTACGCAGCGTCGTGCACGGATATGTGCAGCAACTGTCTTCGTTTCTAGTTTCACCTTACCTCTCCCACCTGGACATAGCAGTGGGGTCCGAAAGTACCCACCATTTCTGCTGTGGTACCTGTTACATCTCCACTGCTGGGATAACACACTTGCATGGATAGCTGACCCCCTCCTGTGTAGAAAGAGGTGGGAGGCAGGCTGGAAGCATCCCATGAGCCACATCTGCCCTGCAGAGCATGCACGTGGACCTCACTGAGTTCAAGCTTGGTTCAGGGATATACAGTCAAAGCACTCAATGGCAGAGAGATGTAAGGGACATGTAAAGCGTGAGGACAGCTATGTGGGATGGAATTGCTGTCTGCGTGTCTATCAGAAAGATTCATCTTGTTCTGTCGAGTAAAAAGTTGTTTCTCTTATAAATGGAAAGACTGGATATTAGGCTTGCTTTTTTAATCTTGTACATCAGCTTTATATATATATACACACACACGAAGTCTTTATATAAGAAGTCTTACCACTTAGAATAGTGGAGATACCTTTGTTTGAAAGCTACCCAATAAAAAATATTTTCTTAAGCTCTCAGCACTATTTCAGATGTGTTCTATCTGTTTTGACAGAACTTTATTTGCTGATGCAGGTAGGAGCTGTAGGTTTCTCGTAGGGTTCGTGAGGATTTCTTATATGGACAGAACACACTGATAACGTAACTGCTGAAAACGACGAGGATGTAGGAGAAAATTTTGAATCTTTACTTGAAAACTTGTTTGGTTTAGAATAGGGTCCTGTCTCCTTCTCGGAAATTAATAGGTTATGCATGTCCTTGGCAGGAAGGGCAATTGTTTTAATAGAAGGTTGCAGTATTTCCTTCCTTTGCTTTGTGAATTCAGGGAGCACTGTTGAGGGTGAAGTGTTCCTGATGTTAATGGAGACGGTCTGAAAATCCCAGCTATGTGGCAGTTGTTTGTTTTAATCCTTTAGGAAGAGCCAAAGACGGGAATTACCCTGACTCTGGAGACCGTCTGCCCACACGTTTAACTATCATTTACATTACGTGCTTGGAGCAGAACCCAGTTCTTGTTTCTGGAGAGTGGCTCTGGGACTTGGGATGACACATGAACAGCTCTGTTAAGCTCCAGTGCCTCAGGAATAGATGGTGCTACCAGACAGCCTGTAAAGAGTGTTGGCCTCGCTCAGCTGAGGAAAGACTGGCTTCTGTTCCTTTCCTCTGTATTGGCACGGCTGTCAGATCAGATCCAGGTCATTCTGGATCTGTGCACCTGAGATACTCAGGCAGTAAGTGCAGTGCAAAATCAGGTGTTTTACTGGGTAATTACAAGCGCTCCTTTTCTGAATGAACTGAAATGGTGGTGGCCTGCTTTTCAGTTATCGGTTTGAATGCTGTAGTTTATATTCTTTTGAACTGATGCCTATTAAAACATGCATACAGAATTCTTCTCACATGGGTTTACTTTTTAACAGGCTAATAAAATACTTTCTTTATCTCCACGCATGACTGTAAAGAGTGAATGAGTAGACTTCTGTGCTGGGCCTGGTAAATATTCCTTGTATTTTATTATGCTTTATTAAGAAAAACCTTTTTTTTCCCCCCCTTGAGTATTCTGCAGCTGCAGAGACTTCACACCATGATTTCATTCTCTGGGCCAGGAACCCTCCAATAAAATTTTACTTGGTGGGGTTTGGTTTATTTTGTCTTTATTTTTTCCTTATGATTTTGCATAATCACCAAAAGCCATCATCTGTACTGAAGGACACTTGGGGAGAGTTGTTTGTAAAGTACAATTATAAAACTAAAACACATCTGGTAATCGTGGAGATAAAAATATGTGCCTGTATCCCTTTCCCACCATCTTTCATGTGTTTTCTTTACTCACTATAAAGTCTGGTTTGTAAAGTATGTGTATGAGCATGTAAGTCCCTCAATTTATGCTCATATTAGTCCCATAACTTTGGGACCTCTGTGCTGAAAAACGTTCAAGGCGAGAACTGACCTTCTAAGTGATATCTGCTGTGACAATCCATTTGTAAGTCTTTAGTGATTCTTTTGGTAATACTTGTATGATGTGTTAAACAAAACTTTATCTTCTTTAACAGTTAATCCGTGAAAATAGAGTGCTAGAAGACTTATAGCGGTCTTAAAATGCACTGGAGCTAAATGATAAACATATGAAAAAGACAAAGTTATACTTTCACTTTGGTCATTCCAGTTCAATCTTCATCCATTATCAAAGCTGTCATTTCTTAATCAACAATGAACAGCTAACTATAAACGAGGGGCAGCCCTCTTTCCTGACGTTGCAAACCACAAGCTGCTCTTGTTGTACGGATGCTTTCTGCAGCTGTTCCTCCCGTCAGAGTTTTTGTAGCCTTTAGGTGGTGCATGGAATTGTTTTGGAGTCTCAATATCGTTTCTTAATTGCTCTTTTACCAGGATAAAGATGCCAAAATCAGCTTCCTTCAGAAGGCAATTGATGCTGTTGTAATGGTAACAGGAGAGCCACTGGCAGTAAAACCAGCACGTGTTGTGGCTGGGCATGAACCTGAAAAAACCAATGAATTTCTTCAAGCAATTGGGAAATGCTGCTTAAATAAAGTAAGATGGTACTATATATATTTTATACGCGTAGTGATATATTATCAGAGCTTATTTGTAACAGACTTTATTGACACTCATCTGCTATTCTTAATTACACA